ATTTCAGGAAAGATTCAGGTTTCAGTGCTTTAGCTTCAGAGTTTGGGGTACTGTACCTGAGATACAATTAGGCCCAAGTGCGTACTCTCCTACTGGGAACTGAAGGATTCTAGGAGACAGAGTTTAAGGAGAAGGAGAGGTTGACGGGCCCCAGGCTGCTATGGGCTGATACTGTACAGGTTTCGTTTTGGGTGTCGGGGGTTCTTGTTCCGGCCCCTGCATGCACCCCATAAGCAGGAAGCTTCGGGCACACCCAACACTACCTAGAGTCTCCATTGTAGTTCCTTTTTGGGGTTACCTTATAGGATCGTAAGTATATCATTGGTTAAACCAAAAAAGGGACTACAATGGAGACTAGAGGTAGAAAGCCAGAATGCAAAGGTTGGAAGACCAAGCAATCAACAGCACAGCTAAGTCTCTGAGCGCCATGACTGTAATCTCCATGCGCCGTCGAAGAGCTTCGACCTAGCGTGACTAGGGGGTGTCTAAGAAATAATGGCGGAGCATCTTGTGCATAGACGCATGGCATACGAAAGGTTCAGCCACAGGTGCATTGAAGGTATTGAGGCGAAGAGCACGGAACGGGGACCCCAACTAAGCATGGTCGACTGCAGTCGTTGTAGCCCGGTTCCGAGCTTGCTCCTGCTGTTGTGCCTTTGTCCTTCCTTCAGCCTGATACACCATGGGTGCAGGGGGCATTGCATAGCTGTCTCCCCATCTAATCGGCTGCGTCAGTACTACTAGCAGCAGCAACAGGAGCAGCAGGAGGAGCAGCAGCAGTAGGAGCAGGAGGATAGCAGTAGCAATCCTGCTCTGCAGCTACGAATCCTACTGCCGCTCCGTGTGCCAAAAAGTACTTCCACTTCTCCTTTTCCTATTGCTGCAACGTCTACCGCTATCTGCAGTACGAGTACTTGCTACTGACACTTCTGGAAGTGCGCCTGTAACTCCGAACAGTCTCATTCCGCTGCTCCTCTATGGAAAGGAATGGAGTAAGCCACGGGTTTGGGTCGTGGGGCTTTGGGGGTAAGGTGTCAGGCTGCATGGACTAAGCATGCTTGCGTTTGAACCACTATCACTTCAAGGAGACCTTTCAGTAGCAAACAAGAGCAAAGCTGTACGGGTCGGCACTTAGGTGCTGAAGCATGTGTCTTGCTTAGTCGTCGTACTTTGGGCGTTTCTGAGGACACATTTAGAGTAGAGGGATGTCATTTTTGCTCCACTAAGGAACATGGATGAATCGCGAGAGCCTAAACCTCCAATCCCTAGGACCCTAGACTCTAAGCCGAAAGTCCTGAGAGCCCTAAAGCAGGGGGCCTTGATCGTTTGAACAGATCGTGCACTATAACCCTTTGGGGGTATAATCTACTACAGTATAACGATCACTAAAAAGAGAGACCCGAAGGAACAGCAACAATGACACCTATGCCGCATCCCGCTCAGAGCCTGGAAGCGACAAATTCGGTAAGCTCCTTACACGAGGTTGGGGTTTAGGGTTTAGGGTTCCTTCAGCGCCTCTGTAAGAGGCAAAACCTTCGAGCTCCAACAAGGGGGAGGTGTGAAGTACCCCAAAGGCCTACCTAGAACAGCCAGACTGAGATCTGTGCCGTCTTGTACCTGCAGGTAACACAGCGGGCGTTGCGTTCTTATTGGGGGTTTCGTGGGTTTTAGGGCTTCGTGTTTACCTTAACCTCAAATAAAAGTCCTTGTTAACGACTTACATAAAGAAATCACAATAATGAGCCCTAGAAAGGTAGGTTCTTTAGGGTCCAGGTTGGGCTTATGGTTTTTCCATTCAATTCTTCAGGGTTTAGGGCCTTCGGAGGGGAACCTCAGGGAGGGATAAAGGGGCTTGTACACTAATGCAGGGGCCTACCGTGATTATCAATATATTATTTTCGGGGGGGTTCCGTAGTAATATGTTTGTGGTAGAATGGACCCCAAAACCCTATTCTAATGATTTGAAGGCCCCGATACTGCCTGTTTTGGCTCCGGTGGTATTCTGGAACTTCTGCGACAGGTTTAGAAGTCAGTAGTTCAGAGACCGAGGTTCAAAGAGTGTCCTACCAAAGCTCCTAAGCGCTCAATCCTGAAGCAAGCTGCCGAAGACTTGGAAGCTTAAGTGCAGCCCCACATGAAAACTTCTTGCAAAACATTCTCTTGCTTGAACCAAGTCTTGTGGGCAGAAACTACATTGGCCTGAACATCGTTGCTCTGAGGCAGTGTCAACTCGAATCGGAACATCAGAACCCAAAGCTGCTGTCCGTTCACAGTGGGCGCACGCTACATGGGGGATCATGACTGCCTGGTCTGCGGGAACCTGACGCGCTGTTCTTATGAAGCTCTTGGGCAAAGCGGAGGGTCTGAAGAACTCCAGCAGATGTCGGTCGCCGCTAACGGTTTAGGGTTTAGGGTTCAGGGTTTAGGGGCTAGCCTCTTCGGAGGCACAGTAAGAGCAGAGGCCCGCAGGATGGGTGCGCATTGCAACCAAGACTCGCCAAATTCCGGGCCATCTACGACAGAGCTGATCAACGTCAATAGCACGAACTACCTGTTACGTGCTGAGCAGCCTTGAAACTAACAAGAAGGCGAAGCCCGGGAGCACCAAATCCCTGGACCAAGACGAATTAATTAAAGCCCACAGCCATCCAGCTCGACATGAATTATCCTCATTACCCCACCCTCCATCTGACTAAGTTACGGGCATTCGATTTCGGATTTTGGGCGTGTGTGGCTGGATCAAGATTCATGTTTTCTGGTTTGAAGGTTTGGGTTTTGGGGTCTCCGGGATACTTAACTTAGGCACTTTCGACCTTTCAAGCCTAGTACTGTTGAAGAATACCCCAAACTCACAAGGCTAAGAGTTACCTACCCGAACCCTGAACCCTAAGCCCTAAACTCTGAACCCTAAACCCGATAAATGTATAAGCCTTATTCTGTCTATACTCCAAACCCTAAACATCCCTAAACCCATCACGCTTGGGTGTGTCGGCATTTGGCGCTCGGACGGAGGACGTTACACCCAATCTAGTTGCAAAGCCACCCTCCAGAACTCCGAACCGTCCGATATTTTGCTGCTCAGTGTGCAGCGTTTAGGCCTTGGGGCATTGAGGGCCCGAAGCTTCAGATGTGCGGCTGTGCGCCTACAAAGCCTACAAGGGCTTATCGGGCTCAAAGTGTCGGGCACGTGGCCCTCGAACCATAAAAATTGTTATGTACCCAGAAAAAGAACCTACAATGAAGACTCTAGGTACACCTTTTTCTTTGAAGTGTACTCCCCTTGTGGGGCAATTCCCGTCGTCACATAAGAAAACTGGCCGGCCACTTCGGACGCGCAGCTTTGCTGCTTCGGGCCGCAACCATAAACCCCACATGCCTTCGGTCCAGCTTCTCTGCCACTACAGTCGCTCGGTATACCCTAGCCGTAAACCATGTGATGGATCAAGCCTGAAGCCCGGTCCAATCAGTCATATAGGCCTTGTGTTATAAAGTATGATCTCTTCTAGTGTCCGTGATAGAGTAAACTACTGCCCGGTGTGAATATCTTCAAGGAAATCTGTTCCTCTTAGCGCTAAACACACTTATCTCGGTCTCCTTTCGGGCATGGTGTCCCCATCAGCCCCGCACTTCAGTAACCGCAGTCGGACTTCCGCGTTGAAGAACCGTATGATTTGGGGTTTATGGGTCTAGGGTTTCTGGACTATACCCCACTACATAGATGGATCTCGCAAAAGTCAGGAAGGAGCTGAAAGTTGAACAGATCTTCGTCAAAGGCCGATCCTCCTCAGTTATCGTGCATATGCCTCTGCTTTTCGTGTGGATAGCGTTCTTCCCAGCAATCGAAAGGAGCACTGCAGGCTCAGAGTGATAACTGTGGTCGGCAGGGAGACCATAGCGCCTAAATCCGCAAGTGCACAAAACCCAATATTTAGACGGTAGACGTGCTGAGTCCGCACGTTTGCCTAAGATTCACACCTTCAAGCCAATGCAGTCACAAAGTGCAACTCGCAAAGCATCGTGAAAACAGGCCTACGTGACCAGACTAGGCGTCGGACAATGACGAAAGACGAGCACTAGTTTCTGAGGCTGCCATGTCGATCAGGAGGATTCTTAATCTTTGGAGCTTTGAAAGATATCCGTTCAGAACTCAGCCACGGAAATCACGTCTTCAACTCGATTATACAGTCGCAGAGGAGCCGTGGTAAAAAGCGGCAAGACAGCACGCACTGCTATGCATTGAGGTGGCCACTCGCCGGCTTATGTGACAGTGACGGAGGAAGGCCTACTTGTTGTGGTACTTCCAACATGAATTTTGAAGCAGGCAATGTCAAATACCGCTGGCTGTAACAACAGCCTCTACAACCTGTTATGCTATGGTGGATCAGTTGTGCACCTCGACACAAATCTGCGACCTACGACTGGTTCACGAGGAAAACAAATATGCGCTAGACACGTACTAAATCGGTCCTGTCATACCTTTCGCCATTCAGGCCCAGTTCTGGCAGGTTCCCAAGCAGGACTGTCGTATCTGTATAAGAAGGGTCCGCGGTTGAGAAACTTATTCTCACACCTTTCCGCAAGCAACCTGGATAACACTGACATAGCATGCTCGTCTAGCTGTGTCGATTCAAGGCTTAGGGCCTTCGTGATCTACCGCTACGAAACGAACGTCCTTGCCACAAGCCCAGCGAGTGTCGCCCAGAAATATGGAGGAGCTCCATGATGAATCTTTCATGGCTAAACCCTAAATCTATCATCGCCAAACCCTAATTCCTATCATTTTCCAACCCGAAAAAAGGAGCACATCAGGAGCTCCCTCTTGGGCTACCTGGGCCAACCCAGACTGGCAGATGTAACCAGGGCCTTAACACGTCGAACAGGGTTTTAAAAGGGATTCGGATTGTCATGTCGGGGCGGGGGGGCTTACTAGAGCAGGGTTGGTGGCATACTACAGTCTAACTGCACAGGGATGTTCTTGCGAGTTGTCAAGGCCCCTCATGCTACTCCACTTCAAGGTCCACCGACCTGTTCTTTCCCTCCTGCAGCTGTGAGGACATCCGATCCAGGGCAATGCCTTCTTCCACCAGCATGCGCTTGACCGTTAACACACGGCCCTGAGCGTAGGGTAGAGTCTTGTCCATCACCTCCGTCGGAAAGTCTGTCTCGAAATCCTTGGCAAAAGCCACCTGAGTAAGATTGTCAGCCGAGCCAGAGCCGTCGGAGATTCCCTTGATCCGTAATGTCAGATTCGGATATCTCTTCAGGATCTCGGCGATCTCACGAATCAGGGCCTGATTGGCTTCAACTTCCGAAGCATCCCAGGATCGCTGTATCTTCTTCTCCACGGTGCTGGGAGGTTCCCGGTCGGTCCATGGATGGTCATTGAAGACCTCGGTCAGTCATGTCTAGTGGAGACTCTCCCTTCTGCTGCTGTTGCTTTAACACTATGCATGCGACAAAGCAAACTTGTCGCCGCTATAGAAGTGCGCGACTCCGTAGCACAGATCAGCTGGCAAAGTAGTGGAAGCTGCTTGGCTGTACAGGGGACAGAGTGGTCTGGCGTACACGCGTGAGACTTCGGTCTTGGAGCTTTGATTTCGGAGTTCATATAAGGGCGTTTAAAAAATTAGACTGGGGTTTTGAGCTCCTGTATAGTATACTTATACTAAGGAGGAACTCCAAGGAGTTATGTTGGTAATTGGGTTTAGGGTTTAGGGTTTAGGCGTAGTCTCCAGTGGGCTTTCGGCCCTGGCCTTTAAGGACCGACAGCGCTCAGGAATCCAGCGCTCAACAACTCTGAATTCTCGATCCCACTCTAACCAGGCTCTCAAACCCCAGTCTGCCACCAAAACCTAGAACCTAAACCAGCGGGGCTTAGGATTTCGGGTTTAGGAACCCTAAGCCCTATAGCCCTAAACCCGATTGAGCACAGGCAAAAGCACAAAGCTCTTGCCGGACAAGGCTTTCCGCAGTTCTTTGGCACCCCTCTCCAGCTGCTGCTCTTTGGAAGGAGCCTTCCGACGGGGTTTAGGGTTTATTGAGGGTTCTTTGGGGATAACGGTTTATTTAGCGTTTAGGGGTTGAGGGTTTATTTTAGGTTTAATGCCGAAACCCCAGAAACATCATTTCGTGTCAGAGTTGCGATGATGGCTATTGTTGGAATAAACCTTGCTCTCTGTGCTGTCGTCACTGTTATTATTGTTCCTATCTCATTCCTATGGCCTCCAACTCTTCACACCTGCTAGAACCCTAAACCCTATACCCTAAGCCCTAAACCCTAAACCAAGCCCCTAGGCCGTATGCCCTTAACCCACGTTGGCCGCCTTCGCCCGTACCGCCTTGGAGTCTCCACAGCCCCGCCTCTGCCAACCCCAAGCTGACTACGTAACACGGGGGGTGGTGAACAATTACGCATCTTCTAGCCCCTCATAGAACTATATAGTATAATATCCCCCCAAAGCCCTATTCCCCTAATAGAATAGAACTATAGAATAATATCCCCGGCCCAAAAGGCCTATCCAAATTGTTAAGGGCTAGACTCTGATGGCGTGGCTTTCGCCACAGGCCCCAACATACGTCGGAACCTGTGATTCCTCCCTGAAGCCTCGAGGCTCCAACATGCCGGAAACTACGGATTCCTCGTTCAGTTCTAGGAGGTTTAGGGTTCATGCAGGTGTTTAGGGTTTATTGAGGGTTCTTTGAGGTTAACGGTTTATTTAGCGTTTAGGGGTTGAGGGTTTATTTTAGGGTCTATTTAATTTAGGGTTTATTTAGTTTAGGGTCTAGGGGTTAGGGGCTTATTTAGGGTTTAGGGGTTTCGGGTTTAGGGACGGACTACTTGGATCAAGCGACCATAAGCCCGAGAGCCACCCCAAGTCCCCATACCCCACAGCTTCAGATGTAGTAAAAACTCACAGAACGCTCCGCACCCTAGACCCAAAGCCTTTCCTATAGAACCGCTACAATCAGGGTTCAGGGTTTATAGGGCAGAATCCTTCTGTTCTTGCACTTTTACAGCGCTTTTAGAACCCCGAGCCGAGAATGCCTCGGCAGCTCTGTCGTACTCTAAACCCTAAACCCTAAATCCTAAACCCTAAACCCTACAAATGCCTCGGCAGCTCTGTCGTACTCTTCTGTTGCTTTCACCCAGTCGTCGTGGATCCTCGCCAAGTGGGACTCGCCTCGGTTCGCCAGGCTGGTGGCGAATCCAGCCGCCAATCACAAAAAGCTTTTTGGTTTATCATTCATGTATTTATGTAGAGGTTAAAGGGTGATGTTGCTACTAGATATTGAGGACAGTATCTTAGGGCTTTGAACTTTGTATTTGGAGTTCATTAAGACTTCAGGAGGCAGATTGTTGCAATTTACCATCAGGCTTGAAAGTTTTAGGGGCTGTGAGGCTTCGGGGTGTGGGTTTGGAGTTTACCTGGAAGCGGACGTATGAATGCATGCACGCATGCATGTATGAACGCATGAATGAATGAATGAATGAATGAATGAATTAATGAATGAATGAATGAATGAATGGATGGATGGATGGATGAATGGATGAATCAGATGGATTGATGAATGAATGAAAAAGAAAGAAAGAATGGATGGATGAATGAATGAATGAACGGACGAAACAGTTTTGTGAATGCAGGAGTGCATGAAGGAATGACTGACTGACTGACTGACGGACGGACGGACGGACGGAGGAAGATGTATGTACCAATATATGTATGTGTTGGTATTTGGGTATATATGTACATATGTATGAGGAACGTTCACTACATAATATGTATAATCATAGTACACAGGTATGCACGTGTGCATCATAGAAATGCAGAAGGTTAGACAACGACAAGCGGCTATGGCAGCTCTAGACAGCCACCAAAGCTGAAAGTGGCGTGTAACACCGATGGCTGCGGACGGGGGAATTTCGGTCCCAAGCAATAAAAATTCTCTCAACCCTGCGCCCCAAAACCTTGAACACTACGCCTTGTGCATGGACCAGAAACCTAACTACACCCTAAATCCTCTTTAAACCCTAAACCCCAACAACCCAAAAAAGTCTTGCAAGGCAAGAGTCATTTCTCTCCATCTGGGCCGCATGCATCAATCTTTGCCTTGACCTGATGATTCCCAGAAAAACGAGCGCGCGGATTTGAAATTTGAGATGCAGGGTTTAGAGCTTCGCAGGGTTTGAAGGTTTTAGGCCTTGAGGATCTAGAGTGAATTTGGGGGTTCAGGGCTTGGGTTTGGGGGTTGGGGTTTTGGCGGAGTTTTCGGGTTCATGGTGTAGTAGCTTTCGCTTCACTCATACTACCTGAAGCCGGAAACGCACAAATCTGCGCGAAGCATCCAGCTCACGCATCAAGGCCCCAACACTCTAGCCCACCACACAAAACTGACTATATGATAATACGGGGCAACTGTGAAAAGTATGGTCCTCCTTTTAAATTTTGGGAACCCTATACAATTTAATTTCTACTCAAAATACGGCGCCCTATGGTTCAGGCGGCTAAAAGAAACCCTACTTTGGACAACAACTCATATGGGCTTATCGGCCGAAGGGCTTAGGGTGCGGGGGTTCGGGGGTGCCGAGGCCAAAGAGCGGCTAAATGCAGGTCCGAATGCCTCAAGTTCTTAAACACCCCAACCTTGAGTTCTTAACATAAGCCCGGGCCCTCTAAACTTTACAGAAGACATTGGCATGTTATAGTATATTCGGGCCTTCTAAACTCTACAGCACAATATTGGCGTACGTACTATAGTCTAATAATAATAATAATATAGTATATGATGGTGCAACTGAGAACCCCATGTCGAAGCACCCCTGCTGACCCCTTGAAAGCCCAGCGTAAACATCAAAGACTTGACCCCACAAGAAAAAAACAAAACCAAGCAAGAAAGACAAGCCCCCGACCTCTTCGGCAATCCGCCTAAGATCCTTGGCTTTTGCCTCTCCCGCCCGCTTGTTGAAGTTCGCTTCTGTCAGGGTCCAGGCATGCATTCGTCGTTTGACGTCGGTTTTCAAAAGATATAACCCCAACCCCTAAACCCCTAACCCCGAAGCCCCTGCACCCCCAAAACCCCCAAACCCCCAAACCCCCTAGACCTGAATCCCTACCCTTCCCACCAGAACTGTTGCAGGGCTTGGGACCGGAGTAGATTGGTGCTTGTCGGGTCATGGGCTCCCTAGAAGAAGTTTACTCGGGATGCGCTCTAGGACCGTTGGTGGCTTTCGGGCTTAAGGCGTTGTTTCGTGGAATGCAGTATCAGCGTTGGGGCTCAGTTGCAGGTTCAAGGATGTTGAACACCCCGCGTCTTTTGAACGTGCGACTGAAGCGACATGGGACCTCCGCTGAAAGACCACCAGGACAAATCCTGTAGTTAGTGGTAAAGTGGAATTATCCTGTTTGCCATTACTTGGAACCAGACTTGCGCAGGATTAGGGCACGTAGTAGTAGGTAGGCTATAATTTATAATTACTAACGTTCACATACAGTCTGATATTCTGTCACATCACAACACCTCGCTCTCAACTCCCAGAAGGGTCCCGGAATCCTAAAACCCCAAACTCCAAACCAAAAGGGGTAGCAGCTATGGAAGAGTTGCTGGGTCTCGAGCGGAGGGCCTTTGCCTTAATAACCCGAACCCCCAACCCCATCTACTGAACATGAAACTCCATAAATCCCTAAAGTGGATACGCGGAACCCTAAATACCGCTACGACACACTGTTTCGAAGTTTCGAAAGCCTAAACCTCAAACCCTACAAAGCTGACACCACCCTACCCAAACCCTATAAAGCCTGAAACCCTAAATCCTACACCCTGTAAAGCCCCAAACCCTAAACCCAGGACCCTGCAAAGTCTGTAGACCCTATAAACCCTAAACCCTAAACCCGACATCCTAAACCCTAAACCCTAGACCCTGTAATGCCTGTAAACCCTATAAGCCCTACTTCCTCAATCCTAAAACCTAAACCCTATAATCCTAAACCCTAAATCCTAAACCCTAAATCCTAAACCCTAAACCGTTTCGAAGA